GGAGCCGGTCCGCTCCAGGTGGCGGGCGGTGGGAGCGAGGTGAGGCTGCGGGCGGCCCGGGCGCCGGCGCGGGACCGCGGGAACGGGATGGCTGCAGGCTGCCTTCTGGGCACAGCGCGCCCCCGCCCGGCCCGGCCAGGCCCTGGGCGCAGCGCTCCGGGAGGCTCTGGCAAAGTTTGCTTTGAACTCGCTCCCCGCAGCCGGGTCCGCGCGCTGTGAGCGGCTTCCCCGGCGCTCTGACCCGGGGCTCGGCTTCTCCGGACGCGAGGACTGGGCGCAGGCTGCAAGCCGGTGGGGCTGGGGAGGGACGAGAGCCCGGCAGCCGCTGTGCCGAGGGACCCGGGGACGCCTCCTTCCCTCGGCCGGCACCCATTCAGCACGTCCCCCCTTCCCTCCCGCAGACAGCGGACATGGACTTCGACTCGTACCAGCACTATTTCTATGACTATGACTGCGGGGAGGATTTCTACCGCTCCACGGCGCCCAGCGAGGACATCTGGAAGAAATTCGAGCTGGTGCCGTCGCCCCCCACGTCGCCGCCCTGGGGCTCGGGTCCTGGCGCCGGGGACCCGGCCCCTGGGATTGGTCCCCCAGATCCGTGGCCCGGAGGGGGCACCGGGGACGAGGCGGAATCCCGGGGCCACTCAAAAGCTTGGGGCAGGAACTACGCCTCCATCATCCGCCGTGACTGCATGTGGAGCGGCTTCTCGGCCCGGGAACGGCTGGAGAGAGCAGTGAGCGACCGGCTCGTCGCTGGCGCGCCCCGAGGGAACCCGCCCAAGGCACCCGCCGCCCCTGACTGCGCTCCCAGCCTCGAAGCCGGCAACCTGGCGCCCGCCGCCCCCTGTCCGCTGGGCGAGCCCAAGACCCAGGCCTGTTCGGGGTCCGAGAGCCCAAGCGACTCGGGTAAGGACCGCCCCGGGCCATCCAAGAGGGGGGCACCCCGTGGGTGGCCCAAGCTCTACCGCTGTGTGTGTCAGGCACGGCTCCTCTCAAGCCCTTCGACCGCCTTCCCCTTTTCTTAGCTGAAACTGCCGGTGTAGCCCCCAGCAGTGGCTGTCTGGCACGTGGGTGTGTTGGTAAACAGTTTGGAGAAGTGGGTGGGAGCCAGCTTCCCTTTGATGATTGGAGCCCCAGGGGACAAGGGAGACTTGGTCAAGGTTGGCACTTAGAGAAGACAATACTGGGGTTGGACTTCTAGGGCTTTCTGTCCGAAGGAGGTTGGAAGGGGTTTCTTAAGAGTCACTCCAAGCTTGAAGTTTTTTTTTTTTTTGCTGCTGCTTCTCTCCTTGGGAAACTCACACTCCCCTAGGGAGAGAAGAAGCTGAGGAGCCTTTGTGCAAAGCCAAAGCCTTCATCCTTTTAAAAACCCAAGTCTCCAGTCTGCTTTACTTTAAAATACCAATAATGAATGCCCTCTCTCCTTGTGCCTCCCACCCCTTACCACTTGTACATCCGCGAGACAGGCAGTGGAGGAATGAACACTCCCCATTAACAGATGGAAAAACTAAGACTTAGCAATAGGAAATCACCAGAAGTGAGAGAAGTGAGCCCCAGGTTTCTGCCATCTAGCCAACCTCTTCTCCCCAGCGCTCCATCCCAGCCACATACCTCTTCCTTGAGGTTTAGAAGGTTTTTGTGGTAGCTTATCTGAAAGGGGCCATACCTTACCTTGCTGCTTCGGCCTGAGATGGAAAGGTGCCCTACTAGCTCTTCCCAGTACATCTGCAGGTTTCAGTGGCTCCCTGGTACTTGACAAATGTTCACTAGCTGCTGCTTTGTGGCAAGCCCTGGGCCAGATGCTGGGGTTATGGCCATAGAATTCTCCTCTATCCTTGATGCAAGTGCAAACCTCACTGAGGGCAGACTGGAGCATCCTGTATCACCAGGCTGTTGTTCTTACTCCAGCATCTTAGACCTCTGAACACACGAGAAGAACCGGAGAGGGTGCTTTTCTAGGGTGTAGACTGAGGCTAGAGGCACATAAATTAGGACAGAGAAAACTCACCGTAGCTTTTAAGAATAACTTACATGACCATTTCAGAGAAAACTGAGGAAGGGGTGTGGGCGTTGACATACACTGTAGCTTTTAAGAATAACACAACCATTTCAGAGAAAACTGAGGAAGGGGGGTATGGGAAAATGAGGATAACATGCAAAATTAAAAGTCAATTTTCTCGGTCCACTGTGTTAAGGTCTTTTTTCATCTGCTTACTTTCTACACCAAGAGCTTATATTTGTTTAATGGCTGGAATGGGAATCTTGAGATCAAGAAACCAATAAAGATGTATCTCTACAAAGGCTGGTATAGTGATAGAGAGAAAAGCATTGTTTTGGAAGTTTGGAGATCTTAGTTTGAGATCCAGAACATTACAAAGGTGATGTGTGGTCTCGGCTGATCTGGGTCTCAGTCTCCCCCCTTGCACTTGAGGGTACTGGACTTGATTGTCCTGCTGAGGACATTTCCTTGTCTGGGTAGAGTAAGACACTACTCTCTGAAAAGGAGAATGGTGTTTAAAATTATTTCTTCCTTAGAACCTTCCTGAACCATGAGGTTTAACACAGAAAATTAAAGGTTTGGGATGTAGGGAAGCCTCCTAAATCATTTTCTGACCTGCCCTTTAACCTGAACCTGTTTGTGGTCTCCTGGTTCACTCACAGGCCACATGGCCTAGAACAAAATGCAACAGATTGCAAACAATGAGGGGGGAGGAGAGTGATTGACAGCAGAGCTCAGCCAATAGGGGCTAGGAATTGGGTGAGACAACATTCCAAACACGGCATAGCCAGCCAATTGCAGGCTTTGGGGCCAGGAGGGCTGAATGGTCAGGTTTTATTAATGGAGAAATAATACGATTGTCCACACAATGGAAGCCTTCCTGACAAAGGGGCTCAAGCTTCCTGATATGCAAAGAGGCTGAGAACGGAGCTCTTGTGTTGTCAGGCTGAAATACATTAAGGTGGCCTGTGTCGGGCTACAAAATGTGTAGAGAAGAGTTTCCCCAGTTGCCCTTCTCCTGACTGGGCTAACCTAAGAGACTTTCAAGCCAGGGAATGATAGGGACATGGCCAGGTGTCTCCAGGTCCCTGCTGTTATAGCCTCTAACTGGGACATTCTTCTGCTACCCAGTCTCTGCTTCTGGTGCAGGTAGTTTGGAAATGGTCGCTTTTACCTTGATGAAGTTCATGCAGCCTTCCTCATCGATGATTACAAATCCAACCTTCTTCTGGTACAGGGAAGGGGGTGGGGCAGGCAACCTATAAATGATGGATGACTTTAGAAACCCATTGAACCCAGGAGCAAAATGCTCCTAAGGGAAACCCTTTCCCTCCCCCTCTGTGGGTGAAGAGGGATGGGTTGTAGCCCTCCCTTCTCTGAATTTTCAGCTGAAAGGGATGGCAGAATAGAGAGGTGGGGGAATAATAGGATTTATAACTTGTGAAAAGTAACAATTCCCCAAGTGCAGGCAGTGCTGGGCAGGAACAAAGGGCAGTTCTGCCCACAGACCCCTCATTTACAATTCTGATGGGGCATGAAAGAGCCCGACTGGGGAAGATCTTTATAGCTAAACTTTGTCTCAGGCCGGTAGCCCTTTCGCCATCTCTTCAGTGGGGGAGGGGAGAGCCTTTGCAGACTGGGGCCTGTTGGCTTGGGTCTGCCTTTTGTTCTTATCCAAGCCTTGCTGTGCAAAAGGAAATTGGAGAATATTTTTCTTCTTGCTTATTTCCCCTCCTCTCCTTCACTCTGCCCTTACCCAGTTACCAATGAATCAGCTTTCTCCTCACTTCAATTTGTTTATCTCTGAACTGGGAAAATGTCACCTGCCTTCCCGAGCCCCAGCACAGAGAGCTAAAGCGGTAGGATCTGCATGTGTGTTTCTTCTGCGATGTGTTTCATCTCTTGATCTCTCTTCTTGAACAGAGGGTGAAGAAATTGACGTGGTAACTGTAGAGAAGAGGCAGTCTCTGGGTATACGGAAGCCAGTCACCATCACGGTGCGAGCAGACCCTCTGGACCCCTGCATGAAACACTTCCACATCTCCATCCATCAGCAGCAGCACAACTATGCTGCCCGTTTTCCTCCAGAAAGCTGCTCCCAAGATGGGGCTCCAGAGAGGGATCCCCAAGAAGAGGCTTTGGTGAGAGATGCTCCAGAGGAAAAGGAAGATGAGGAGGAGGAAGAGGTTGTAAGCCCCCCACCTGTAGAAAGTGAGGCTCCCCAGTCCTGCCACCCCAAACCTGTCAGTTCGGATACTGAGGATGTGACCAAGAGGAAGAACCACAACTTCCTAGAGCGCAAAAGACGGAATGACCTGCGCTCACGGTTCTTGGCCCTGAGGGACCAGGTACCCACATTGGCCAGCTGCTCTAAGGCTCCCAAAGTAGTGATTCTAAGCAAGGCCTTGGAATACTTACAATCCCTGGTGGGGGCGGAGAAGAGGATGGCTACAGAGAAAAGGCAGCTCAGATGTAGGCAGCAACAGTTGCAGAAAAGAATTGCCTACCTCAGTGGCTACTAACTGACCAAAAAACCTGACTGTTCTGTCTCACAAAGACAGACGTTTATTTTTTAACCTCCCTCTCTCCTTTAGTAATTTGCACATTTTGGTTGTGGTGGGACAGTCTGGACAGTAGATCCCAGAATGCATTGCAGCCAGTGCACACACAATAAGGGCTTGCATTCTTGGAAGCTTTGAAACCCAGCTCTCCCTCTTCCCTGACTCATGGGAGTGCTGTGTCTTCTCTGGCGCCTTTGGCTTCTCAGCAGGCAGCTGACTGAGGAGCCTTGGGGTCTGCCTAGCTCACTAGCTCTGAAGAAAAGGCTGACAGATGCTATGCAACAGGTGGTGGACGTTGTCGGGGGCTCCAGCCTGCATGAAATCTCACACTCTGCATGAGCTTTAGGCCAGGAAAGGATGCTCCCACTGGTGTCTCTGGGGTGATGCAAGGACAGCTGGGCCTGGACGCTTTCCCTGAGGCTCCTTTTTCCAGGAGACACATGAGCTGTCTTGGGTGAAGACAAGCTCGCAGACTTCATCAACATGGACCATTACCTCACTGTCAGACACTTTACAGTAGCTGAGGAGTTGGAAACCTTTAATATATATATTATGATGTTAGCTGACACTCCTCCTCCCACTGTCAATGCTGCGACCCTGAGGACATTTAAAGAACTTGGCCTCTAGGTTCTTTGTCTCAGAACTCTCTGGGCCCTCTCTTCTGAGTGAGGGATCTTTCTATCCTCACAAGGGACTTTTTTGTTTCTTTCTGCCTTTGTTATGCAATGGACTGTACAGCACCCTTTCCCACAGGTCAGAAATACTTCCCTGAGACACAGGGAAATGGGTCTTAGCCTGGGGCCTGGGGAAGGCTTGGAGTCCTGGTCTGTGAATTTGTTCCCCGCCCAGGTGTTTTCCGAGGGACACTCGAAGCCCGTCTTAGAATCTTTTCTCAAGGCAGGTGTAAGGCACCTCAGAAGGGAGAACTGTACCACTTCCTCTTTGCCATCTGCCTCTCAATTCTTGAGTGATAAGTTTGACGTTCTACTAGAACTGTGCAAACCTGTCCTCATGCAACTCCAAGGAGCTTGTTGGCTCTGCAGCCACCCCTGGGTCTGTGCCAGCCTGCCATGAGTCAGATCCCTTTCCTAGAATTTGGGCCTTTCTGAAGTTCTGGGGAGAGCCAGCCGTTGGGACTTTATCCAGTGCTCCAGAAGGTGGGCTTGTTTCCTGGTGGGTTTTAAAGGAGCCTTCAGGAATTCTGCTTAGCCAACCATGATGGATTTTACCCCGGCTGGACTCTGAAGCTCCAAGTGGAATCCAGGTACAGCCTCCAATCTGGAAAAGTCACCCAACCCAACAGGTGATATGTAGGCAAGCTCAAGAACCCCTAAACCTGTCCTGGATGAAGGATCAAGCCCCTCCAGAACTCTGCACCTGCTGGCTCTGGATTTGGAAGTGGGGGGTACAGATGGTGGTAAGCACTATATGTGGCTCTGAAAAACAAGCTGCTGCTTCCAGATCTATCGTCCGTAATGGTTTCTTTCTGAGGTTGCTTCTTGGCCTCAGAGAACCCCAGTGGAAGTTTGGAAATAGCCTCTCCACCTTCTGGAGCATGGTTTTCAGGAACTAACTTACCTTCTGGAACTGTCTTGGGAGGACAAGTGGGGTGTAGTTTATCAATGTATCACCTGAATAGCTTGTGTTTTATAAGCTGCTGTTGGGTATTATACTGGGAGGAGTCTTTTTTTTTAATACTGTATTTTTGTATGCCTTTTGCAAAGTGGTGTTAACTGTTTTTGTACAAGAAAAAAACTTGGGCAATTCTCCTGTTGCAAGGGTCTGATTTATTTTGAAAGGCGTTTACCTGAAATTTTGTATTTAGTTGTGATTATTGATTGCCTAATTTTAAACTGTTGCCTTCTGAGATGTCTTCTAATAAAAGATTTCTCAAACATTTCAGAGTGGGGGCAGCTTATGCCATCCTAGTCCTCCTGAACCAAGGAAAACTATTTCAGGGTAGCCACAAGCAATCCAGAGAGCTGCATTTCTTTAACCATGTTGCTAACCTGGTCATTCCACTCTGGGTTCCTGAAATGCCATTTCAGACATGTCTAAACAATGTAGGCTCAGTACTCAGTGAACATGAAATTCTCTTGTGAATTGCAAATAGTGCTGAATTTGTTCTTTAGAAGACTTGAAATCCCAGCTCCACCACTTCTGTGGCCTTTTAGCATCACCTTTCTGAGCCCTAGTTTCCTTATCTGTAAAATGGGGTTAAATGCTACTTCACTGAGGTTTTACAGGTTTTAAATGAAGCAGTAGACTTTTTTTTATTTTTTACTTTTTTGAGTTGGAGTCTTTGTCGCCCAGGCTGGGGTGCAGTGGCAGGCTCACAGCTACCACAGCCTCAACCTGCTGGCTCAGGCAATCCATCCACCTTAGGCTTCCAAGTAACTGGAACCTCAGGCATGTGCCACCACGCCCAACTACTTTTATTTATTGTAGAGATGAGGTCTTGCCACAGTGCTCAGGCTGATGTTGAACCCCTGGACTCAGGCAATCCCCTCGCCTCCACCTCCCAAAGTGCTAGGATTACAAGCATGAGCCACCACACCAGTGAAGTAGTAGACTTTAGCCTGCTCTCTTTTTTAATTTTTATTTATTTATTTATTTATTTTTGAGTTGGAGTCTCACTCTGTCGCCCAGACTGGAGTGCAGTGGCCGCTCCCGGCCACCGCAGCCTCGACCTGCTGGGCTCCGGCGATCCTTCCGCCTCAGCCTTCCGAGTAGCTGGAATTACAGCTGCGCGCTACCACGCCCGGCTAATTTTTTGATTTATTGTAGAGATGAGGTCTCGCCTGCCCAGGCGTGTCTCGGACCCGCGGGCTCAGGCAGTCCACTCACCTCAGCCTCCCAAAGGCGCGGGATTACAGGCTGAGCCACCGAGCCCGGCTTAACCTGCTCTCTAAGCTATAAAACCTTATATTCTTTAGGATGGTACTAATCTTTTTTTTTTTGAGTCGGAGTCTCACTCTGTTGCCCAGGCTGGAGTGCAGTGGCATGCTCACTGCCACTGCAGCCTCAACCTGCTGGGCTCAGGCAGTCCTTCCACCTAATCTTCCAAGAGGCTGGGACTACAGGCATGTGCCACCACGCTCTGCTAATATATATATATATATATATTTTTTTTTTTTTTTTTTTTTTTTTTTTTTGAGTTAGCAACTCATTCTCGTTGCCCAGGCTGGGGCCGGAGTACAGTGGCATGTTCACTGCCACTGCAGCCTGGACCTGCTGGGCTCAGACAATCCTTCCGCCTCAGCCTTCCAAGTAGTTAGAACTACAGACGCATGCCATCATGCCCGGCTAGTTTTTGTGATTTATCATAGAGACGAGGGCTCACTAAGTTGCCCAGGCTGGTCTCGTCTCGAACCCCCGGGCTGAGGCAATCCTCTTGCCTCAGCCTCCCAAAGTGCTGGGATTATAGGCTGAGCCACTGCACCCAGCCTAGTTTTTTGATTTATTGTAGAGATGAGATCTTGCCAAGTTACCCAGGGTGGTCTTGAACCCATGGGCTCAGGCAGTCCTCTCACCTCAGCCTCCCAAAGTGCTGGGAATATAGGCATGAGCCACCGCACATGGCCAGGATGGTACTGTTCTTATCTTAGTGGTATGACAGCTTTTTGCAGAATGTCTTTTTAAAATTTCTCTGAGAATTTGTGATGTGATATAATGTTTTCTTAGAGAAAGATAGCTTTTAAATTCTTTCTCATTTAATTACTGAAGGAGAATTAAGGCTCCCTTTCCCTACCATAGTTCTCATGAACTTGCTGTAAATGCAAGATACATTTAATACTATTTAGTACAATACATATAGTACAACAGATACAATAGTAGCTATTCCTGATAGAGCCCTGCTGATGTCTGAGCACTGGGCTGACTCCTTCATATTATGCTACACCAAGCACATGTCAGAGCTACAGATGAAGAAACTGAGGTTCTAAGAATAAACAAAACTCCCTAACTTCACACAGTTGGGATTTGAAACCAGCTCTGCTTATCTCCAGAACCAGAGGTTTTAACTACTACATTATAAAGATCAACCTGTTAGCATGGAGTATGTGGAGGAGCTAAACATAGAGTTCCATCACTTAAGTGCTTGTTGGAATTTTCTCTTTTGGGGACTATTATCAGGATGAAATAGAGCATATGTTCCATGACCAGCCACTCCAGCATTTGTGTGCTGGGTGGGATACTTTTGCTGCAAAAAAGTCCCCTCTGGGATTGAAAAAGAAAACAGTTGCTGCTCAGAAAAGCCACAGGCATGGTGAATGAAGTCTGCTCTGGCTTTGCCTCCATTAATCCCTCCTTACAGATAGGACCTGAGTTTATGTTGCCTGCCTGTATTCCTAAGGAGCTTCAGTAGGGTAAAAAAGCTCCTCGTAGGCCAGGCTCCTTGGCTCAGCCTGTAATCCCAGCGCTTTGGGAGGCGGAGGCGAGTGGATTGCCTGAGTCCGCGGGTTCGAGAGCTGCCCAGGCAATTTGGCAAGACCTCATCTCTACAATATATCAAAAACTAGCCGGGCGTGGTAGCGCGCACCTGTAGTTCCAGCTACTCAGAAAGCTGAGGCAGAGGGATCGCTGGAGCCTAGCACATCGAGGCTGCGGTGGCCGGGAGCGGCCACTGACTCCAGTCTGGGCGACGGAGTGAGACTCCAACTCAAAAAACTCCAACTAAAAAAAAAAAAAAAGCCACAGGCATGGGCTCGGTGGCTCAGCCTGCAACCCCGCGCCTTGGGAGACTGAGGTGAGTGGATTGCCTGAGTCCAAGGGTTTGAGACCCGCCTGGGCAAACTTGGTGAGACCTCATCTCTACAATAAATCAAAAAATTAGCCGGGCGTGGTAGCGCGTGCCTGTAATTCCGGCTACTCGGAAGGCTGAGGTGGAAGGATCGCCAGAACCCCAGCAGGACGAGGCTGCGGTGGCCGGGCGCGGCCACTGCACTCCAGTCTGGGCAACAGAGTGAGACTCCAACTCAAAAAAAAAAAAAACTCTCAGTGTAGTCATCCTTTTTTTGAGGTCATTTGTGAAGAGACTAGTTTGTAGGACCTCTCTCCCTTTCCTAGACCTTGGAAGAATTCGTGAGCACTCAATAAAATGGTATGGATGTGGGTACAGGCACTAATGTTAGTTGTCTTACATTATCTTTTTTTTTTGAGTTGGAGTCTCACTCTTGTCACCCAGGCTGAAGTGCAGCCGCGTGCTCACAGCCACTGCAGCCTCGACCTGCTGGACTTAGGTGATCTTTCCGCCTCAACCTTCCAAGTAGCTGGAACTACAGATGCACGCCACCACGTCCTGCTAGTTTTTGTGATTTATTGTAGAGATGAGGTCTCACCAAGTTGCCCAGGCTGGGCTCAAACAATCCTCTTACCTCAGCCTCCCAAAGTGCTGGGATTATAGATGTGAGCACCTTACCTGGCCTGTTTTACATTATCTTAATTCTCACTATAATCTGGTGTGGATCCCATTTCACAGATTAGCAAACTGAAGCTCAGAGACATTTAAATCATTTGTCTAAACCCACACAGCTAGTACAAGCTGCATGACTCCAAGCTTCAGCTCCTTTGAGTTAACTCTGCTGAGAAGGGAGTGGGAATAAAGCCACCTCCTGGGGGGAAAGGAGGGTGTTTCTGGAATGTGAAGTATTTTAAGCTCCTCTCTAGCTGATTTCTAGAGATTCCTACCTCTATCTTTGTCTGAAAATAGGAGTTTATTCCTAGATTTCAGAGAACAATTTCTACAAATTAGTTTTGCCTCTGAATAACACACCTAAGGTATTCCACTTCCAACTCAGTATGTAGAATGAGTATCCCAGAAGCCATGCTCAGTGTAGAAAAGAGAAAGACATCCTCTCTGTTAGACAATAAAAGACTAAAGCATATGCTTAACTTCTGCCTCTGTTGGCAGTTATTTTGGGGAACCACGGTTAAACTACCTTAGATATAGTGAATTTGTCTAAAGTGCTTCTGAGATCAGGATATTCCAGAATATTCACTCTAGGAGGGGAAAAGGGTCTGCAGGCGGCCTTTGCTGATCTGGAAGGTAATAAGAGGGAGTGAGAGAGAAGTAAGTCTCTTTGTATGGATAAGATAACCTATTTGGGTTGATTGATGACTGTGTGACTGGGGTGGGGGAAGAGGGAGGTGTCTAAAATGTGTCAGCTAAAGTTCCGTTGATGTGTGGGCATTTCAAGGGTAAGACCAGTGGATGGCTTTTGTTAATGTCTGTTTATTTAGAATTACTCCTGCCAAGGGGATCAACTGTATTAATGTTACCATTCTTTTGGCAAGGAAATGTAAATATGTTCTTAAACTCTCTAATCAGGTATGTTATTAAATGATTAGGCTCAGTGCCAGAGGTCCAATAGGTGCCCAGTAAATACTAGATTGCCTTTAAACTTGGAAGCAGTACAGTTAAGTGGTCACCCACACCCAACAAATCTCAATTCTAAATGTTGGCTCTGCATTTTCAAGCATTTTCTTGACCTTGGGCAAGTCATTAACTTCTCCTAGCCCTGGTTTTCTTATCTGCAAAATAGGTGTAAATTATAGTATCAGCTTCATCGCGTTGTTGTGAGCAATAATAAGTGCTCAGTAAATGATTAGTGTCATTTAAACCACGTTAACAAGTCACATCTAGAATACAGATTAGTCATATTTGAATGGTGATGAGAAGAATTGGTAAAATAAGAAATCTTCCCAGAAGGAGTACTTAAAGTAATCTGGAGTGCACACATTGATGCTTCCGGAGACAGTAGAAGCAATAGCCAGGGTTTTGGGAGTTTGAGATAGGCAGAAGAGGAAGGGAAGGCGAAGATCTGGGCCTCGCACTGTCTGTGACAGGCAGAGGCTATACATTGGTGAAGCTGTTGCACACACAGACCCTCTTCCTCAC